AGATGAGGCTGAAGCTGAAGATGAAGGGGAGGGTGACGATGAGGATGAGGAAGATGAGGATGATGAACGTGGTGAAGGTGAGGATGAGGATGACAAGGGTGATGAGGATGAGGATGATAAAGGTGAGGATGATGAAGATGAAGACAGAGATGAAGACGAAGACAAAGCAGAGGCTGAGGCTGACGATGACGATGACGATGAGGATGACGAGGGTGAGGAGGAAGCCAATGACAATGATGACAGTGACGAGGGGAAGATGAAGACAGAGATGAAGACGAAGACAAAGCAGAAGATGAGGATGAAGCTGAGGCTGAGGCTGAGGATGACGATGAGGCTGACGATGATGAGGATGACGAAGGTGAGGATGAGGAAGATGAGGATGATGAAGATGGGGATGATGAAGATGAAGACGGAGCTGAAGACAGAGATGAAGATGAAGACCAAGACGAAGACAAAGCTGAAGATGAGGATGAAGATGAGGCTGAGGCTGAAGATGAAGCTGAGGATGACGCTGAGGCTGAGGCTGAAGATGAAGGTGAGGATGAAGCTGAGGCTGAAGATGAAGATGAAGGTGAGGCTGAGGCTGAGGCTGAGGCTGAGGATGAGGATGAGGCTGACGATGACGATGAGGATGATGAGGGTGAGGAGGAAGCCAACGACAATGATGACAATGACGATGACAATGACGATGAAGATGAGGCTGAGGCTGAGGCTGAAGCTGAAGCTGAAGGTGAGGCTGAGGCTGAGGCTGAGGCTGAGGCTGACGATGATGAGGCTGAGGATGATGAGGGTGAGGAGGAAGCCAATGACAATGATGACAATGATGAAGATGAAGCTGAGGCTGAGGATGAGGCTGAGGCTGGGGCTGAAGATGAAGCTGAGGATGAGGATGACGAGGGTGAGGAGGAAGCCAATAACGATGATGACAATGACAATGATGACAATGATGACGATGACGATGACGAGGATGACGATGAGGATGGTGAGGAGGAAGGCTCACCAGTAGAAGACGCATCGCAGCTGGTGCCAGCTGAGCGACCTGTGTGACCCTTGGGGACACCTGGGGTACCTGTGTCACCTGTGTCACCTGTGGGGACACCTGGGACACCTGGGGAGACAGGTGTGTGACCTGAGGGGACAGGTGTGTCACCTGTGTCACCTCTGGGGACACCTGTGTGACCTGGGACACCTGTGTGACCTGGGACACCGGGGACACCTGGGGCACCTGGGACACCTGTGTGACCTTTGGGGACACCTGGGACACCTGGGACAGGTGTGTCACCTGTGCCACCTCTGTCACCTGTGTCACCTGTGGGGACAGCCCTGGGGACACCTGGGGTACCTGTGTGACCTGTGTCACCTCTGCCACCCCTGAGGTCACCATTGGCACCTCTGCGGTCACCTCTGTCACCTGTGCCACCTTTGGGGACAGGTGTGTCACCTGTGCCACTTCTGTCACCTGTGTCACCTGTGTCACCTGTGTGACCTTTGGGGACACCTGGGGTACCAGTGTCACCTCTGTCACCAGTGTCACTTCTGTCACCTGTGCCACCTGTGTCACCTTTGGGGTCACCTCCGGGGCCACCACACCTGTGTCACCTGTGTGACCTGGGGCACCTGGGACAGCCCTGGGGACACGGCGGGGGGCGCCCCCCAGCAGCGGGTCCGGGCACAGCAGGCACCGGGGGGCACCTGGGGCACCTGTGTCACCTGGGACACCTGGGGGGACACCTGTGTGACCTGTGTGACCCTTGGGGACAGCCCTGGGGACACCTGTGTCACCTGTGTGACCTGGGGCACCTGGGACAGCCCTGGGGACACGGCGGGGGGCGCCCCCCAGCAGCGGGTCCGGGCACAGCAGGCACCGGGGGGCACCTGGGGCACCTGTGTCACCTGGGACACCTGGGGGGACACCTGTGTGACCTGTGTGACCCTTGGGGACAGCCCTGGGGACACCTGTGTCACCTGTGTGACCTGGGGCACCTGGGACAGCCCTGGGGACACGGCGGGGGGCGCCCCCCAGCAGCGGGTCCGGGCACAGCAGGCACCGGGGGGCACCTGGGGCACCTGTGTCACCTGGGACACCTGGGGGGACACCTGTGTGACCTGTGTGACCCTTGGGGACAGCCCTGGGGACACCTGTGTCACCTGTGTGACCTGGGGCACCTGGGACAGCCCTGGGGACACGGCGGGGGGCGCCCCCCAGCAGCGGGTCCGGGCACAGCAGGCACCGGGGGGCACCTGGGGCACCTGTGTCACCTGGGACACCTGGGGGGACACCTGTGTGACCTGTGTGACCCTTGGGGACAGCCCTGGGGACACCTGTGTCACCTGTGTGACCTGGGGCACCTGGGACAGCCCTGGGGACACGGCGGGGGGCGCCCCCCAGCAGCGGGTCCGGGCACAGCAGGCACCGGGGGGCACCTGGGGCACCTGTGTCACCTGGGACACCTGGGGGGACACCTGTGTGACCTGTGTGACCCTTGGGGACAGCCCTGGGGACACCTGTGTCACCTGTGTGACCTGGGGCACCTGGGACAGCCCTGGGGACACGGCGGGGGGCGCCCCCCAGCAGCGGGTCCGGGCACAGCAGGCACCGGGGGGCACCTGGGGCACCTGTGTCACCTGGGACACCTGGGGGGACACCTGTGTGACCTGTGTGACCCTTGGGGACAGCCCTGGGGACACCTGTGTCACCTGTGTGACCTGGGGCACCTGGGACAGCCCTGGGGACACGGCGGGGGGCGCCCCCCAGCAGCGGGTCCGGGCACAGCAGGCACCGGGGGGCACCTGGGGCACCTGTGTCACCTGGGACACCTGGGGGGACACCTGTGTGACCTGTGTGACCCTTGGGGACAGCCCTGGGGACACCTGTGTCACCTGTGTGACCTGGGGCACCTGGGACAGCCCTGGGGACACGGCGGGGGGCGCCCCCCAGCAGCGGGTCCGGGCACAGCAGGCACCGGGGGGCACCTGGGGCACCTGTGTCACCTGGGACACCTGGGGGGACACCTGTGTGACCTGTGTGACCCTTGGGGACAGCCCTGGGGACACCTGTGTCACCTGTGTGACCTGGGGCACCTGGGACAGCCCTGGGGACACGGCGGGGGGCGCCCCCCAGCAGCGGGTCCGGGCACAGCAGGCACCGGGGGGCACCTGGGGCACCTGTGTCACCTGGGACACCTGGGGGGACACCTGTGTGACCTGTGTGACCCTTGGGGACAGCCCTGGGGACACCTGTGTCACCTGTGTGACCTGGGGCACCTGGGACAGCCCTGGGGACACGGCGGGGGGCGCCCCCCAGCAGCGGGTCCGGGCACAGCAGGCACCGGGGGGCACCTGGGGCACCTGTGTCACCTGGGACACCTGGGGGGACACCTGTGTGACCTGTGTGACCCTTGGGGACAGCCCTGGGGACACCTGTGTCACCTGTGTGACCTGGGGCACCTGGGACAGCCCTGGGGACACGGCGGGGGGCGCCCCCCAGCAGCGGGTCCGGGCACAGCAGGCACCGGGGGGCACCTGGGGCACCTGTGTCACCTGGGACACCTGGGGGGACACCTGTGTGACCTGTGTGACCCTTGGGGACAGCCCTGGGGACACCTGTGTCACCTGTGTGACCTGGGGCACCTGGGACAGCCCTGGGGACACGGCGGGGGGCGCCCCCCAGCAGCGGGTCCGGGCACAGCAGGCACCGGGGGGGGACACCTGTGACACCTGTGTCACCTGTGGGGACACCTGGGACACCTGGGACACCTGGGACACCTGTGTGACCCTTGGGGACACCTGGGGTACCTGTGTCACCTGTGTCACCTGTGGGGACACCTGGGACACCTGGGGAGACAGGTGTGTGACCTGAGGGGACAGGTGTGTCACCTGTGTCACCTCTGGGGACACCTGTGTGACCTGGGACACCTGTGTGACCTGGGACACCGGGGACACCTGGGGCACCTGGGACACCTGTGTGACCTTTGGGGACACCTGGGACACCTGGGACAGCTGTGTCACCTGTGTCACCTGTGGGGACACATGGGACACCTGGGACAGGTGTGTCACCTGTGCCACCTCTGTCACCTGTGTCACCTGTGGGGACAGCCCTGGGGACACCTGGGGTACCTGTGTGACCTGTGTCACCTCTGCCACCCCTGAGGTCACCATTGGCACCTCTGCGGTCACCTCTGTCACCTGTGCCACCTTTGGGGACAGGTGTGTCACCTGTGCCACTTCTGTCACCTGTGTCACCTGTGTCACCTGTGTGACCTTTGGGGACACCTGGGGTACCAGTGTCACCTCTGTCACCAGTGTCACTTCTGTCACCTGTGCCACCTGTGTCACCTTTGGGGTCACCTCCGGGGCCACCAGAGCCATCCCTAAAGCCACCATTGTCACCGCTGTCCCCCCAGGTGTCCCCAGGTGTGTCCCCACCCCCCCACCTGTCCCCAGGTGTGTCCCCAGGTGTGTCACCCCAGGTGTCCCCAGGTGTGTCCCCAGGTGTGTCACGGAATTTTTTTTTTAAATTTTTGGGAAATTTTTTGGCAATTTTTTTTTGGGGGAAACTTTTTCTTATTTTTGTGGATTTTTGGGGGAAATTTTTTTGGGTTTTTTTTTATTTTTGGGGGGGAATTTTTTTGGGAGATTTTGGGGATTTTTTGGGGAATTTTTTTGGGAACTTTTTCTTATTTTTGCAGATTTTTTAGGGGATTTTTTTTGGGGGGAATTTTTTATTTTTGGGGATGTTTTTTGGGGATTCTTTTTGAAATTTCTTTTGGCTTCTTTTTTGGTGGATTTTTGTTTTTATTTTTGGAGATTTTGGGCGGGAATTTTCGGGGGAATTTTTTTTTGGGGGGTATTTTTTTGGGTAATTTTTGGGGACTTTTCAAGAGGATTTTTTTGCAGATTCCGGGGTTCTGGGACAGAATTCTCACCCGCTTTTATTTTTTTGTGGGTTTTGGAGCTTTTTTGGGGCATTTTTGGGGATTTTTGGGCCGTCCCGGAGCCGCTTTGGGGTAAAAAGTGCTTTATTCGCCGGTGACGTCACCACCAGCCAATAGGAACCGCGCGCGGCCGGAGCTCCGCTCCTCGGCGCGGTGACATCACCACCAACCAATAAGAACCGCGCGCGGCCTGACTGACACCTCCACCGCCCAATCCCAAACGAGCAGGGCGGGCTTTCCCCCCCGCCCAATCGGCAGCGGCGGAGGGTGGTATTTCCGTTGATTGGCAGCGCTCTCAGCCAATGGGAGGGCGCGGCGCTATCCCGCCGCCACTGAGGCGGCCACGATGGCGACCAGGACCAAGATGGCGACCGAGGCGCAGGCGGCGAGAGCCAGGCGCTTCTGCGGACCAGTATAAACCAGTATAAACCAGTTTGGACCAGTATATGGCAGTATGGACCAGTACGGACCGGGATAAACAGGTTTGGACCGGTATAAACCAGTACAAACCAGGCCGGACCGGGATAAACAGGTTTGGACCGGTATAAACCAGTACAAACCAGGCCGGGCCTACCCACAGGCCCGCGGCCTACCTCCCAGTAACTCCCAGTTTAAACCAGTATAAACCAGTGAGGCTCCCAGTCCCTCCCAGTCCAAACCAGTAGGCCCCAGTTACCCGTCGGGCCGCCCGCTGGCGAAGCCCCGCCCCCCGCAGGTGGCCCCGCCCCTTTTCCAGCCGCGCCCCCGAGCGCTGCACGTGGAGCTCGATGCGGTCGATGACGTCACCCTGCGCCAGTGGAGACCAGTGTGGGGTGAATAAACCAGTA